TGAGTCTTTGGCTTCCTGTGCTGCAGTATCCTCCTGTTCTGAGAACTGGCATGTAGGCATAGTGTGATTGATGGAGATAACTTGCATAGCCTTCTTTGAAAGGAGGTGTTCTTCAAGGCTTGGTTGGCTCCTTGAGGAATAAACAGTGTTACAGTCCCTAACATTCTGATTTTGTGATTCTGAGTTGGGTCAGCTTTCCCTTTAAAGGAACCAGCAACCATATTCTCTTCAAAAGTGTAGCTATGTCAGAATTTGGATGTTTGAAGTTGGTCCTTGTCATTAGGTGATGGAAAGCAAAGCCTAATGGTTATACTAGCTGAGATGTAAGGAGTCTCAGTTCCTACAGCACCAGTGCCCCTACTGGGAGGAGAGAACCCAGCTCAGGATAGGAACTGGACTGAGTCTTCTGACAGGCAAGAACATGGGGTTTCAGCCTTTAACAAAGCCTAAATAGAGGAGAAAAAAAACATTTTGCCCTAAATGGAGTAGGTACAAGTAGCCTTGCTGAAGACTTTGTTTGGATGCCCTGCCCCAGGGGTAGCAAGTACTACCCTGGAGAGCTCAGTGGGTGCGTTTCTTCTGCTCACTTGTTTTTCATGTGAAGGAGACCAGTATTGCCATGCCAGACAGCAGTGCAGCAGAGTCACTCTTCCATTGAACTCTGTGAACTGCTCTTTGCATGAACAGAACTGTCTGCTTTGATCCAGTGATCTGAAAAGATGCCTTTAAGAAGGAAGTGGTAGATGGCCAACTGACTTGAATGTTTGGAAGAAATGTGATGTACATGACAAAAAAGAAAACATAAAGTTTTTTTCTAGAAGTAAAGGCTTTGGGAAGTTCTCCTCCCCTCAGGTAATGACTGCAGTCTGTTTCATTTGGCTGTGAAATGGCTGGGATCTGTCCCTTGCTGTCAAACCAGCAGAGCAAGATGCTTTTGTCTGCAGGCCTGTTACACAGCTTGCTTCCTTAGAGTGGGCTGGCCAACAGGAAGAGAAGAATTTCCTTGAGCACAGCAGTTGGGATGCATGGCTGGAATAATGAGACTTTATGAGAGAGGAGGGCAAAGGGGTGGCAGTGACTGGACAAGGGAACTGTGTGTGATTAAATTGCAGTAAAGTAAGATCACATTAACTCTGTGTGTTCTGAAACTGCTGTCAGGCACTGGGGGAAGGATTCTCTTACCCACCCACATGTCTCATCCACATCTTCTCTTGCAGCAGTCAGCTTAACTTCAACTCCCGTTAACCACCTGCTTTTCATTTTTGCCTTGACCTGGATGAAGTTAGACTTGGATTTCCTCCAAATGACTCCATTAAGAGTATTGATAATTATTCTGATGTGTAAATTCTTACTATTCATTCATCAAAACTAACTACATCTAGCAAGGACAAAAAACCCGATTTCTGTTGTTTTAACCAATGCCAACAAACTGTGGCATAGCAATTCCTCTGTGTTGTGCTCTGACATGCAACTTCAGACACCCAAGGGAGTGGCTTGAGGAACATGCTGGTGAAATCCTTGTTGGACTGACAGTTGTAGTGCTGGTCCCTGACCCCTTGTGAGGGGTGGGAGAGACTGACTGTGGGCTGACCTTGGCTGGCTGCCAGGTGCCCACCAAGCCCATCTTACCATTTCCCCTTCTCAGCAGAACAGGGAGAAAATGACAGAAAACCTTGTGGCTTGAGATAAGGACAGAGAGATCACTCAGCAGTTAGTCACAGGCAAAACAGACTCAGCTTAGGGAAATTAATTTATGGCAATTAGAGTAGGGAAATAAGAAATAAGAACAAATCTATAAACACCTTCTCCTACCTCTCCCTTTTTTCCAGGCTCAATTTCAGTCCTGACTCTTCCACCTCCCTCCTCACCACCCTGAGTGGTGCAGGGGGATGGGGGTTGTGATCAATTCATGACATGTCTGCTGTGCTGCTGTGCCTTCCTCCTCACACTCTTCCCCTGCTCCAGTGTGGGGTCCATGGGATACAGTCCTTTGCAAATGGACTGTTCCAGTGTGGGTCCTCCATGGGCCACGGGTCCTGCCAGAAAACCTGCTCCAGCATGGGATCCTTTCTACAGGCTGGAAGTCCTGCCAGGAGACAGTTCTTCTGTGGTCTGTTCATTGGCTGCAGCTTCCTTTAGCCACATCCACCTGCTCCGGTGTGGGGTCCTCCATGGGCTACAGGTCATCTGCTCCACCATGGACCTCCATGGGCTGCAGGGGGACAGCCTGCCTCACCATGGTCTTCACCACAGGCTTCAGGAGCACCTCCTCCCCATCATTCTTCACTGACCTTGGTGTCTGAAGGGTGGTTTTTCTCACATATTCCTGTTCTGCTCTCCCTGCTGCTGTTGGGTAGCTTTTTTGGTTTTATTTTTGGGTTTCATTTTTTGGTTTTTACCCTTTCTCAAATATTTTATCACAGGGGGCTTAGCTTTGGCCAGTAGCAGGTCTGTCTTGGAGCTGGCTGCTGCTGGTTCTCTCTGATGTAGTGGCAGCTTCTGATGTCTTCTCACAGAAGCTACCCCTGCTACCAAAACGTTCCTGTGTAAACCTAATACATTGACATGCTGACAACAGGCAGTGCAGGACTCAGGGCACCAGGCTCAGCAGGAGCTTGGGCATGGCATGGAGTCTCTGCTCTTCCTTCAAAGTAATAACTGTGTATCAACTCTATCCCTGCTGCTGAAACCTGTCTGTAGGTCTTCTTCGGTCAGAAGACCAAGCACAAAACTATGGCAGGGAGAAGAGTCTGGTAAGGACTTCTTGGGCCGCAGTGGGTACTGGACTCAATTTAGCTGAGCAGAAGGTTAAACCACACTGTGGCATTCTTATTTCCAGTGGAGGTTTTGGGCATGTGAGAAGCTTATCCAGCCAGGTGCCTCCAGATTTCATAAGGATCAACTAGATGAGTTTGAGGAACTTGAAAAAGTCTCGTGGAGATGTCGAGGAAACACATCCACATGCAATTTTTCCTCTGCAGGGGGGAAGCTGAGATGGCCCATGTTGGTTGACAGAGGTGAAGAACACGAGAGCTGTGTGAAGCCTTAACCTCTGTTTGCAGCTGGCAAAGACAAATTAGTGACAAATGGAAATCTCCACGTGGTGGCAGTGACGGTCTATGTTTATACACACATCATTTGTAAACACACTGGCTCTGGGAACACCTTGTGCTTTTCCGTATCTGACAGCACTGTGGTGATGATGGTAGTATCTCCAGGTAATGGGCTAGAGGAGAATGCATGGAAGGTGGGTGGCACTATCTGCCTGGCCCCCAGGAACTGGAGCATGTTGGGTGGGGTGGATGTGGCAGAGGTGTGGACAGACTAGGGAGGTGGAGAAGCCAGGCATTGAGTCCAACTGCATCCACAGAGAGAGTTTTAGGCCAGGCTTGGGTCATCTCCCCTCCACTTGAGTCAACCCATGACATTTCCTTAGGGAAGCAATCATGTTTGGTTTTTCACCTTTCTTTGCATCTATTTCTAGTTCCTCTGATAGAGGAGCCTAAGGAAAGAGGAGAGGCTGGCACCACGAACAGTGCTAGAAGCTGTGAAGCCTCCTGGTAAGGGAAATGCAGTGGTCAGTTTTAGCACCACTTAGCAAGATGGGCCCAAAGGCTTTCATCTCACTAGGAAGCAGAGCCCAAGTTCAGCTTGTGATGAGGAGCTGGGGACAGGGACAGGAGGTGTCTCCCCTCGCTGAAGGTAATGGCCAGCAGCAAGCTAAGTTGTGACAGACCTGTTTGGAGCTGATGATCTCTAGCTGGGTAGAGATGTGAGAGATTAACAGCTACAGTCAGGGGTTGTGGGAGCAAGGTAAGAGGAAAGGATCTGAGGTATGTCTTTCTCACTTCAATACAGGCTGCATTAAGGATGCTGGCGGCTTTACGGTTGGATTTGATTCAGCTGCGGAACAGGGCTCACATGAGAATGGAAGCTGTGGCTGCCCTGTGTTGTCCTGACCCCTCCTGTGGGCACCCATCCTGGAGGACCATGTGTAAGCTCAGCAGGCAGCAGTCCGCTCCAGGAATAGCTCCTTGGTTTAAGTAACCCACAGCTCTTTGCATCAGTTCCCAGGGCCACCCTTGGTGTAGCAGGCCATGGTGAACTCCTCAAGGCTGGTCCCCAGTGTCCTGAGCTCAGGCAGGTTATTGCCGCCAGCGCCAGCTTGAATTTGCTTAGGAACAGGACACAGAAGTTGCCATACTTATTAGACTGAAGCACCTCTAATCTAGAGACTGTTTCATTTTGCACAGCCAAGTATAAGGCATTAAGCAGTTAAACCACTACTCTAGAAATAATGGTACGTGTAAACGAATAGCTGTTTAGCCAACAGATTGTGAAGCCTGCAGCTGTTTACATTTGAGATTATTAAATAAACTCGTCCTCTTGCTCTCACATATTATGTCCTCAATTAATTGGGATCCTAAATGGCCTCAGAAATCCCACTGTCAAGTCTACTTGCTGAGTGTAACTTGAGTAGCAGCACAGACACGGCCACGCGGACTGGAGAAAGGCAGCACAAAAAGACCAGAGATTCATCAGCACAGCCCCAGCTGCAGGGCCATGGAGGAGAGGGCACTGCAGCCAGGGCAGAGCTGACACCCTTTTCACCTCTACAGGTGCATGCAATGGAGGACTGCTGCCCTGCCAAGGGGCACCTACCCCCAGCTGATCCCTGGCACACCTGGCAGCCAGTGGAGTCACCTGGAGCTTGCCTTTTCCCAGAAAACCTTCAACCTCACCTGTAGAGTGATGTTGTTAGAGGAGGAAGGGTGATGGCAGCCAGAATTTGCTGCTCACAGGCTTTGTGCAACGGGCCAGAGGACAGGCTGGACCACCACGGTACTACCAGTGCTCTGCCTAAAAGCACACGCAGTCATCTGTTGGCAGAAAGGGCCTGTCCCAGCCACACGCTGCTCTCCACTGGGCACTAGCACTTTGCTCAACTTCACTACACTGACTGTACTCATGGGATTAGTTTGTGTCACTAGAGGGGAGAAATACAGAGAGTTTTCATGACCTTCAGCCTACCTTGTGCCACTGACACTCATCCCCATGATTGTCAAGGAAAAAAAAAAAGTGTTTTTAATCCTTTCTTTTTATTTTCATCAGCATTTTGTGGAAAAATTCAGGTGTTTCTCCATAAGCTTTAGAACTTCAAGAACAATCAAGGTCACAGTGAGAAACTACCACAAGACCTCCAGACTACGTTGGACTATTTTCATCATTCACATGCTGGCAGCGTTCCTGGTGCATAACAGAAAACTCGGATTTTCAGTAGGAAATAGCTATGTTCCCCAGTGAAGTTCACAGGTTTGGGGAGGTTTGGGTTTTACAAAAAAAATTATGTTTTGGAGGTAAAATCAGGTAAAAAAAAAAAAGCCTTGCAAAATCACCTGCAATTCATGAAGTGTGAAATCTATACACAGCGAGGGGAACATACGGGTCAGTATTTTATGGGAAAGCAGGTTGAGCCAGGATTATTCCAGCTGACAAATCTTTCTGCAACTCTGACTGAGGGACAGGAACTCCATGTGGCTATTTTTAGTTCATTCCCAAATCACAACCTTACTTGAGATCATTAATTCACTGGGCTTAAAAACAATTCAGTATTTTAGGACTTGCAAGCCCCCTGAAAATTTCTCAATAAAAAGCCACCAAACAACAGCAGACCTCTACACAGTGGATCTGAAGCCTTCTGACAACAAACTCCCTTTTCTGGTTTACCAGGTTTCCTGGTTTATCTTTCACTCTGTGGAGCGGTATTAATCCACAGACCTTCCTCAGAGACCAGTTGAAAACCACAGCACTGCAGCTAACCCAAACTAGCGATTCATTCTCCTCAGAAAACCCTATAAAGCAACCAGAACCTCTCCCCTACTTATGCCAAGATGCATTATTTCCCCAGTGGCCAGTCAACCTGTATTTCAGGACATGTGTTTTGTTCAGTCCATTCAGCAAGTATCAGTTGATCTACATTTTAAGTTAAGTGATCTCTTCTTGATGACAGAGCATCTAATCCTGCGAAGACATTAAGGCCAGATTCACAGATCAATATAATGAGACCTAAAAAGTAACCAAAAAGTCCTCCACAGTGGCTGAAGATGGATCACCATCACCTTTAATACTTGTCTGTATCCTGTAGTAACGGGTTCTTGTTCTGGCTTTTTCAATACATCTATTTACTGTTGCTAATCTGTGTGTCCCCTTCGCTCAGTACCATGTGGGTCCTGGACACCAATTTAACACAGCTAGGGCCAGCATATTGATCTCATCTTCCAGGAGAGCTAAGGTGAATACCATGGCAAAGTCAACTCTAAGCGTGGACACCAACAGCCAAATTCCTCAAGGAAATAGGTGACCTATCCACATCACCTGTACTGTCAGATCTACTGGGATAAATAAGCACTCGTAGTATTTTAGCCATTCTGTATTAACAGCAAGGAAGTGAAAAGGACAGTGTTCCACAAATAGAACTATAACACAAGCAAACTATCTATGAATAGATTTATTTTTTCTTTCCTTAATCTTAGAATAACTGAGAAACCTACATTTCCTGATGAAAGTCAAAAAAATAAGCCGGCTAGTGAGGAAGCTGGCATCTCCAGGTGTTGTTAGCCTGTTCTTTGCTCCTTGTTATTGGTTAAAAAAATCCCCCTTGCCACATCCTGAGACAAATCAATGGGTAAACATTAGTCATCAGCTGTGCCATCAGCTAGCAAAGCTTTTGGAATTGCTTTTCCTTTCTACAAGCCAACTCATAGAAAGGTTGAAGCTACTATTAAATCTGTTACAGTTCTGATGAAGTTCATAATTTTTAAGGTGCTTTTTTTTGTGATAGTTTGGGGAAGCAACTCTCAGGTTCTTCAAGAGCAAAGCAACTGGCATATACTTATTAGCCCAAATACTAACAGAAGTTATCATCACCAAACGTCCTTCAAAAAGACTGAAACACACCTTTCCATCAGTGAGTTAAAAGCACTTAACAGAAGAATCACGTTCTCCTGCACCAGTCTCCCAGGAATACGTGACCTTCAGACTTTTACAATGGCTTTTCCAAGATTTTCTCCCTTTAACATTCCAATAAAAGCCTTTGGCATGTTCTCAAATCCTTCAGTGACTTGTTCATGGCACTTCACTTTTCCCTGTCGAAAGTAAGAAAGGAAATTGATGAGTTTTCATCCACCAGCTGCCTAGTTTTTACCATCTTTGAGAGACTAAATTACAACCAAATTTTCTCCAGCTTGTATGTTTCATCTAAAATACACAAGCTGGCATGCAGCGGGGTAATTTTGCTAAACTAGGTAAGCTATTGTGAGTATCTGCTTTTGTTGCAAGACCTTCTACTTGGAGTCATAACAGGGAACAAAAGTCACTGCTGTAAAAAGACGCCAGGACAGACTTAGTGCTACTTGGTCCCCAAACAATGGACAGGTAGGGCATTATTTCCCCAAAGCCAGACCTGACTCTACACATCGGGAAGTATGGAATTGCAAATGTGGTGATTAAAAGCTGAGCCATCCCAAATCCTTGTTTGTAAAAGCTAGAGCCTCTTAGCCTTTAGTGTTCACACCCACAAGCTTTTCACAGCCATGAACCAAGTATTAAACTCAGTTTCCATTTAGAAAAATTAAATTTAAGAAACTCTCTATTAAGCCCAGCTCCCAATTCCATAAAAACATCCATTCTTGCCAGTAATTTCAGCACAACACTACAATGGAAATCCTTGTTCATACTACAAATGAAATTAGACTTCTGAATGAGAAACAGAGGAATCATTTGAAATACGAAACTCTTCATTTCGTTAGAAGTGTTTTGAATTATTCTGGAAGCATCCTTTTTCAAAGCCTACATGTATTCTGGAATATATCTAAATCCACAAGCTAATGTTGCAGGTCTCAACAAAGCAGAAGCAATCAAGCCTGTTAACTATGGTTTGAGTGTCCCCAAAAGGCTCAAAGGTCAAGTCAGGTGGAAGAAAAGTACCATGGTGGGACCTCACCTCAACAGCTACGACAAGAGACCCCTTGCAAAGAGGGAAGCTATGGCCTGAGTACACCTTACAGAAAACTACTCCTTCCTTCCTTACCTCCACAACCCATTTTAGCAGTGCCTTCAGACCTTCCTCCCGGCGGTGATTCCAGCGGGACACAATAAACCCTTCCATTTGAAGCTCTTTGAAGAGCATTGGAACCTGAACATAAGGCCCTGCAAGAGAAAGGAACCAGTAAACCAACTGCAATATCAGTTTAAATTAAAATAAGACCCAACGCACAAAGAGAGCTTTTAGCCAGTAAAAAACACAGAATCACTTTGTTCCAAACAGAACCAACTGCTCTTTTTTACAAACAGAATTTCCAGGACAAAAGACCCAGGATTCATGGACAGACAGACAGCCAGGGCAACAAAGGTCTGATCTGTGAAGTTGTGGGGCTAAACGCCCAACACTTCTGAAAACAGCTTAATTCAGAAGTTAAGTGGCCTCAGCTTCATCTGAAGGGCTTCAGCTGAATCCTGGAAATACTGTTTTGACAGCTTGTTTGATAGCCCGACATGCTCTCATGCTTTTCCTAAGTCTCAAAAAAGTCACACACATTAAAAACCAGTTCCCTCAATCATAAAAATGTGTGATAGTCTCCCCACTCTCAAAAGCCTGTCCTATTTTTAAAGTGATCTGGGAGTCCAGAGCCAGACAGTTGTCAAAAGAGAATTCAGACCTCCCATTTCTTCTAGAAGGCAAACTGGGAAAACTTAATACTACTGAAAGTGAATATTCATCTCAGCCACATTTCCCAGCAGCTTCAACAGTAGCTGAAATTTTATGAAAAAAAAAACCCCAAACTCTAAGCTGCCTCATCTAAAACCCCAAGGGAAATCTATTGTCTCATCTAAAAGTACTTACTGTGTAAACAGCATCATGCCACCACCCCTGCCTTCTACTGATCTGTATCTGTTTAGGGCCCCAGGGAAGCCTGTTTTAAGTAGCTGAGTCTCTCCTTCATTTCTAATCAGCTGATGTTCTCCATCCATTATGAGTGTGCACAAAGGAGGATGACTGCTTGTGCACACAAGAAGCGTGGTCACAATCCCACTGTCTCAGAGCAGTTGTTAGTTACCCAAATGTACACACTTACATACACTCAAAAATTGAAACAACTCAAAAAACCTCAAAAAAACCTCAAAAAACCCTCAAAAGACTCCCATCACATCTTTCTCTCTGCCATCACCGAACAGGAAATAAATTTAGACACAAGAAAGCAAGCCCACACCTTTCTGAGGCACAGTGTCATTGTACTGAGAGATGGCTCCACAGATTGCAATCCTTCCATATTTCTTCATGTGGTTGATAGCAATATTGGCAAATTCTCCACCCACCTACAAGAACAAGAGCATGTGCAGCATTAGAGACAATCCAGTGACTGACACTGACATTACCAAAACCTGCCAACCTTGCATTGTTACACCAACAGGTTAAATCAAGGGCTGGAGAGGTGAGTTCCACTACTCCAAACACTCAGTGGCTGCAGAAAGCCTTACGCCTAGTCAACATTTATGAGGACTCAATCTTACTCTTCAAAAAATTAGTTACGAACACAGGGAATCAGTTTTAATTCCAAATCTAATTCACAAAGCTTGGTTTGGAAGCATTGGGCAGGACTTGCCCTGAGATCCCTCCTCCTAACGGGCATGTCTAGGGGCACTAAGAAGCACCACCTCTGCTTTTCCCCCACACCAGTCTGCACTTTTACCTCTTCACATCATGGTGATGTCAACTTTTACTCAACGATTCTCTTCTCCCAGACAGGAATGTGCTGTGCTCAAAAGTTGTTAAGGGATAAAAACTCTGAGAAAATTTACTGCTGCAGAGAGCTCTGCACAAAGTTGGAAGTGAGGGAAGGGAACAGATGTGACCATAAAACTTACTTAAGACCTTAGCAGCAAAGGACATGAAATTTGGAAGAGTGAGGCAAAGCAACCAGGAGCTCCCACCACAGAAGCAAGTGCTTTGCCCTGGCACCATACATTCACATCGATTGCCAGGGCAAGGTGGATGCTCTGCAAACCACGCAGAATGACAGCACCATAAGACAAGCTAAGGGGGTGATGATGGCTGTCCTTTAAACCAGGTAACTAGCAAGGGAGTTTTAGGCCAGTATCTGAGTTAAAAACCCTGCACCAGGTATTATATTATCAGGTATAATGCATATGTTAGCTATACTAGGAAATTAAAGAAGCCAGGGCTTGTTCTCTGGCTTGCAGGCGAGCTGACATTGTTTGACTGCATCCATACTGTTAAATGGTGTAACCCTCCAAAACAAGATGGTCACATTCAAACAGCCTGTTGAGAACAGTCCACAGCCTCTGCTAACTCCAGCTGTACCTGGGAGAGGTCAGAAACTGTCTATGGGCTCCTCCAGCTATTTTACAAGTGGGCCTTTCAACTGTTTGGTTTACAGGTACCAGTCTAGCCACCTGGACAATGTAATGTGAGGCCACCCACGCTCGCTCCCCTTCCAGCAACAGCAGAGAACTGCTTGTGGTCCAAGATGGGGCCAGGAACAGGCTGGAGCTCTCTCTGTTCAGCATCAGTTCTTTGTGACCCTTCCCTCCCCAAACCGTGCCATACTTCAGAGACTGAAGATAGGCTCCTATGTCTCTATTCAGAAACACCACCAACAATTCAGCTTTGCCTTTTGGTCTTTGTTTTTTCTGTTACTGCCCAAGTCAGATGCAGAAGTCCGGGAAGGGAACAGGAAAGCAGTAAGCTCTTAGGGAGATCATTTCTCAATTAGATGGAACTCAGTATCAAGTTCCTGATGTAGTCTTCAAGTAGATACATACAATATTGAGTTCCTGCTATTTTTTAAGGAAAACGACAGCCTGCTGCAGGCAAGGCCCTCTCTCTGAACTCACATTGTCAAAGAAACAATCATAGCCATCAGGAGAGGCTTTACGCAGTGCTTCATCCAGAGATGTAACAGTCTTGTAATTAAAGGCTTCATCAAAGCCTATTTTTTTCAGATAGGCAACCTTGTCATCTGAGCCAGCACAGCCAACCACTCTGCCACCCTGCAAGGAAAGGAGAAAAACATTTCTAAACATCCCCTCACAACACAGACTGTAGTAAGATAAGGTCTGGCGGCCGGA